TCCGAATTCGAAATGTAATAGTCGGCAGTCGTTGTCGTGCTTGCTCTTGTGGTACGAGAGGGGTTGTGAGTGACAATGGAATCGCTGATCTCATCGGCAATCCGATTTGAATTGGGATGATCAGGCGGGCGAACAGCCCAACATTCAGAGTGCTCGGTGCTCGGCGAAGCCGGCGAAGCCTCCTCGCCAAGCAGAGCAGTTGGTGCGTTCGCGAGCGTTGCGTCCCGAGGCCCAACCTGGCCAGCGAACTCTGCGCCGACCATTCCAAAGTGACTCAACAACTTGCAAATGCAATTACAGCGCAACTTTTATCTTGATTCTTTTGGTGAAGGTATGTGCTGCTCGGTTCGCGGCCGTTCCTAGTGCTATCGGACGGGCGACGTTGTCGGACGGTCTGCTCCAGCCGGCCTGGCCCGCCAAGCCTTGAGGGCATGTGCACTCCAGGCCGGCCCCCCGTCCGAACGTCGCGACGATCTGGGGCGCTGTCTTGGATGGTGACCTGATGTAAAGCTCTCGTGTGAGCCCCAGCCGGCAGTGCCTGATAGTGACCAGTGCCATGCCTCCAGCTGGAGCCGTGACCAACGCGATATCGGATCCGAGTCCGCTAGCAAGGCCCATCGCGGCACAGTGTATGTTGCTCCTCCAGCGCGTGAAAAGTAGCTGGTGTACGCGGTCACAGGCGCGATTGTATTTGTTGCCTGCGTTGATGCAATTCAGCGGCATCGTGATCCAGACAGATCCAAATATACGTCGAGCGACATCGCTGAGGATAGAGGGAATCTGTGGGAACACAAGCGCACCCAGGTGCATTGATCGCTTCTGCCAACCATGCTGCTCGAGAGCTCGCACGGGCGACGGTGCGATTTAAATGGCAAAGCAGGTTGAGCATACAATGCTTCCCCGGCGAGGAGATGGCCCGTGAGGGGCCATCGCAGCAGTGGGGGCTGAGGACGGACCGCTGTTCAGTCTCCACAGGGGAGGCAGCTGCTGCCGCTGCTGCTGCTGCTGCTGGCGCGTTGTCCTCGGTCTCCGTCTCCATCTCGTCGGCGTGGGCGTGTAGTGCGCGCTGCGGTCAGAGAGTCCGCCGAGTGTCTGCGCCGCCCTCTCGGACTCGTCGATGATCATGACTAGGCGTCCGCTTGGTGCCGTCTAGAGAGTGATGTGGCCTGTGCCTGATGGCCGCTGGATCTGCGCATCGCCACCTCCTGGGAGAGTGAGCTCGTGCCTGTCCATGTCCAGGATCGCGCGTGTGGACTCTGTGCTTCGTAGCCATAGCAATCCAGGTCGGCCGCTGCCAGAACCTTTAACGGCGCCGTGAAGCTGCGGTGCATTGCGCGGCCCAGACCATCGCTGGCCTGATGGGTGCACCGCGGGGCCCCGCTGCCAACGCATTGGATGCCTAGGGGCATGCCCATGAGAAGTTGCTGTACCCTGGGCATGCTAAGTGCACGCCGTGGCGGCTACTTTCGTTGTCGGTCATGCCTGCAAAGCCTCCGAAGGATGGCGGCGCACAGAGGGCGTCGGCGATGATGTTGGGTGCGTGATCCAGGGTGTGTCACGCGCGTCTGAGCATCGTCGAGATAATGTTGAACTCAGTCTCGGTTGCGGGGTTCATGTTGATGCAGGGCTGGGGCAGCGCCATGATTTGACTGGCGGCGACGCCGACCGCTCGGGGGAGAAGCCAGCTGTAGCTTTCCCATGGATCGCAGCTGCACCGTTTGCTGCTGTGCGTCGCTCGGAATCGCAGTGCGATGAACCGCGAGAGCAACGCGTAGGTCGCCTCGATGCGCCGCCTCAAGAACTCGAAGACGTCTCGTGTAGCTTGCCGACGTGCCCCTTCGCCGAATGGTCCGAACTGGCTCGCGAGGTTCGAGCTGAGGTAATTTCGTGACGGCGTCTTCGGTTTGGCCGTTGACCGAACCTCCTGAAATCATCTCCGTGAAGTGCATGAAACGCGTGAGTTCGCGTGCAGAGCCACCGAGGTTCAGGATGATGGCCGCGCACTGCTGGGCGCTGCCCATGTCCGCGACGAATGCGATCCACGCAAGCAAGTCCAGCGCCCAAAGGCGGAACGGGCGCGCGGACTCACGCTCGGGTGACCAGCCAGGTGGCTTGCGAGTGGCGACGCGTCCTCGGTCTTAGCCACTTGGCTGTCCTGCTCTTCCTTGCATCATGAACATGAACCAGGGCAGAACAATCATGGAGGGAATGGTGATGCTGCCCCATTGCGCCAAGATGGAAACCCTTTTTCTGAAAGACTCGACCCCGAGATGATCTGCGCATGCGCATTGGAACGCGGACTTGCACAGGGACGTATGTCAAGTCGATGCTGGTGGCAGGCGTCGTGGTGCTGGTACCATTAGTCGGCGCTAAAGGTGGTGAAATAGGTACGCTAAGGAGTAGTGTGTCACTCGGGGCGCGCAGCGTGATCAGTAGGATCCTAATGTAAGCCAGCTCTGCTGCGCACAACGCGAATCCAAGTGCTAGCCCACTCATGCGGCCCAGAGCAAGAAGCTGCGTTCCGCGGCCAATGCCAAACGGTTGCGCGGGAACCTGGACGTCGTGGCGCCGATGTGGGCCGGCGACCTGCACAAAGCCACTAGCTGCTGTTGGGCTTGCAGCCAGGCTTCCACGGGGACTCACGCGGTCTGGCGGCGGCCTCATCGTGCTTGTGGGTATCCGGGGCGAAGTGCCCGCAGGGTAGCAGAACACAAACAAGCACAGGCTGCTCAGGGCATGGAAGCCAGTATCGATGTGTAGCGTGGGGGGAGCGCGAACGCGCGTCCACTTCGCCCTTCGCGCGTCTCCCGTAGATCGCGAGCTGGGATCGCTCCCAACGCTGCTGCCAACTAGAACTGCGTGTGTAGAAGCCGATACTATGATGTAACAGGATCGGATCTGTACTTTTCGAAATCGCGCCGGCGTTGGGGTCAAACGGCAGCGGCACACATTGTTTGACTGAGGAAGAGGAGGACCAGCGGAAACCCAAGACTCATCAACGATGTTGGAATAAACCCTCCCTCCAAGTTCCCTCTTCACAGGCCCTTACAAGGGCTGGTTCCCGCAGAGGGATCGAACTGCCTCGTTGGGAAACAACCGTTTGAAGACCCTGCTGCGTGCCAAAACACCATGCTCGGGATTCCAACGCCACGAACCGACATGACTGTTGTCTTGACGATTCGGAATCAGGCCAAAAAACCATTCATTCCTAGGAGATTGCGAATCAACATAACAACTGCGCCCTCACAACCATGAGTTATTCCAAAACACCTTGTCCGGCACGTTGGCCATGGGAACCCGTGAAACTCTTCTTTTCGAAACGAGTGCGCGCGGCGCTAAAGCGAGAGCCACATTTTGAAAACCACCCGCCCAAAATCCGTGAAGATCTTACAAATTGTTAGAAAGAGTGTGCGCGGCGCTACGGCGAGAGCCATATCTAAACTCTTACAACTGTCTGAAAAGAATGTGCGCGGCGCTATGGCGAGAGCCACATTTTGAAAAGGAACCGCCCTCAATTCCTGAAACTCTTGCAATGTTTTAACACGAGTGTGCGCGGCGCTAAGGCGCGAGCCACATTTTGAAAAGGAACCGACCTCAATCCGCGAAACCCTTGCAATGTTTTGAAACGAATGCGCGCGGCGCTAAAAGCAAGAGCCACATCTTGAAACCACCCGCCCTCAATCCGTGAAGCTTTTGCAAATGTTTAAGACGAGTGTGCGCGGCGCTAAGGTGAGAGCCACATTTTGAAAACGACCCGCCCTCCATCTGTGAAGCTGTTGCCAACTTTTCAGCTCCAGAATCATAAATGGTGAGGAAGTCTCAAGCGAAACGCCCGGCCCAAAAAAACTGGCCTCGGGGCGCGACGGGGAGAAGCTATTTATGAGGAGGAAGAAGGAGTTAGAGGAGGCCGAGGAACAGACGGAAGAGAAGGAAGATAAGGAAAAGGAAGGCGAGGAGGAGGAGGAAGACCACGGCGGAGCAAAATAGATCAACACCACCATCGCGTGGAGCCAGGGAGGGCCCCCCTGACCCCGCTCGAGACACCCCTGGCCTCTGCGGCAGGCATGTGTCGTAACGACCCCGGCGCTGGCTTCTGGCACCGCGTGGCCGATGCTGGGTTTCTGGCTCGCGCTGGGGCCGCCACACCGACACGGCACGAACCTGCCGCAGTCTCCAGCTTCCAGCTCGGGGGAACATCGAGGACCTCTTCGCTGGAGGTGGGCCGCCGGTGGCAGTGCCGCCTCCGCTGTCGCCCAGAGGAGGGAGGAAGGAGGAAGGAGGAGGGCCCCGCGTGCCGAGGCGGGGCCCCGTGAGCTCTCGGCCCCGGCGCTGGCATCGGCGTTGCGACGCTGCACAATAGGTTCCTCTTCTCCCGCGCGCGCGGGGAGCCCCAGCGGGCCCCCGCAGGTCTGGGCTCAGAGGAGGGTCGGCCGCTCAGGGCTCCCATCAGGGGGCGCAGCCGGTTTCGGCGGGCACGTGCGATCAGAGTGCTCGCCACGAGAGGGCTCGGGGCACGCTCGCCGTCGGCCCTGAGCCTCGCAGGGTGCTCCGAGGCTCTGGGGGGGCCATCGGGAGGTACGAGGTCATCGTGGGGCACCCGCTGGCAGGCCAGTTCCTCGCTTGGCGCGCCCACTGCACACGCAAGGGGCGAAGGCAGGTGCGCGGCTTCGGGGGGGCGCGGGGGGGGGGCGTCCGAGCCCTCGCGCGCCAGCCTCTGCTGCTGCACCGCGTCCAGCGATCGGGGGCCCCAGTGGGCCCGCACCACAGGTCATCCCGGCGAAGGGTGACTCGGTGTTCGGGTCGTAACTTGCCTTGGGTCTCCGCCATCCGTTCGTGACAACTCGGGCAACTCAGAACGCTCTCGGCGAGGCGCAGCCGCTGGAACGCATCCCGAAGCAGGAAAGCAGCGTGCGAAGAAGCGACGAGAGCCGCGGAGCCGCGTCCGAAAGCCGACGAGGAAGCTGAAAGCCAAAATGACGTCGGCGCTGAAGGTCGCGGACCGTCCACGCGTCGGCGCCCAGGGCCACCAACGTTTTGAGCACGGCCTCCTTGAACCGCCACCGGGTCAGCGGGAGCGCCATGGATGCCGCGCGCAGGGCGGTGGTGACGGCGCGCTGGTCCTCCTCGGGGAGGGAATTCAGCGCGGAAAGTAAGTTGCCGCCCCCCCCACCACATGCCCATAATCCATACCACATACATAACAAACACATGAAGTAGAAGTAATTCCAAAAGGTGGCGCAACATCGCGATATGGTTAGCATTGTATGTTTGCCGGATCCGAAAAAATAGTGTGTGATGAGACTTTGTTCCACACGGTTCCTGGCAATGCCTATACAATGGGTTGATAAGTGTCGCTTTCCACCACCAAGATGAAACAACACTCGTAATAATCTGGTTTCTACGATGGGCCACGGCTTCGAGTACAATGTCCCTGTGACTTGTAATGGGTCGTTGCTGCGAAGACGACAAAACTCGATTGCCTTCGCAATGCGAGAAGAAAGGGATCAAGAACATACTCCTGAAGAGGAGGGGATATCACTTCGGCCCTAGCTGCGGGAGCGGAAGCGTTGGCGTTTTACCGAACATCAGACGGGGTCTTAACGTGTCTTAACCGCTATACAAGGTTAAGGGAAGGAGGATGAGGTCAAGTAGGTATGAGGAGGAGGAAGACGACAACAACAAACACCCCTCAAACTTCACCCCAACAAATTCGCTGGAACGTTCCAACCGAGCTTGGCCCTAGACGTGTCCTCTTCCCTTTTTGCTGCTCCCCGATCTCCGTTTCTTCGCCTCGCTGGAGCGGACCGCGTCCTCTCTCCAATTCTCCCTCACCCCCTGTCCCCGCCACCTCCCCGGGGAAGGGGAAGAGGGGGAGGAGGAGGGGGAGGAGGAGGAGGAGGAGGAGGAGAAGGAGGAGAAGAAGATGGAGGAGGAGGAGGAGGAGGAAGAGGAGACAGATGAGGAGGACCGATGTCAACCCAAGAATCATCAACGTTTTTGGAATAAACCCTTCCCCAAGATCCCTTCTTCACGGGCCCATGCAAGGATTAGTTTCCACTCTGTTGGGAGACAACCGCTTGAAAATCCTGAATCATGCCAAAATACCGTTCTCGGAACTGTGCCGCTAATCAACCTCACTGTTGCGTCTTGAATGTCCAGAACCGCGCCAGAACACCATCCCTGGGACCCCAGCACCGCGAATCAATGTAACTGTTGCGCCCTGACAATCATGATTCGCTCCAGAAGACCGTTTCTGGTACGTTAACCCTGGGAGCCGTGAAACTCTTGCAATGTTTCAAAACGAAGCTGCGCGGCGCTAGGGCGACAGCCACATTTTGAAAAAGAACCGCCCGCACTCCATCAAGCTCTTGCAACTGTTTGCAACGAATGTGCGCGGCGCTAAAGCGAGAGAAACAGTTTGCAAACCACCCGCCCTCAGTCCGCGAAGCCCTTGCGATTCTTTTAGACGAGTGTACGCGGAGCTGAAGCGAAAACCACAGATTGAAAACCACCCGCCCTCAAGCAGTGAAACGATTGCACATGTTTAAGATGAGTGCGCGCGGCATTAAGGCGAGAGCCACAATTTGAAAGCCACCCGCCCTCCATCTATGAAACTGCTGCCAAAACCTCAGGGCCGTAACTGGTGAGGAAATCGCGAAACGCCTGGCCCGCCCTGTCGACAGGCCCCGGGGTGCGACAGGGAGGATCTATTCACAAGGAAAAGGAATGGAGGAGGAGGACGAGGAGGAGGAGGAGAAAGGAGGAGGAGGAGGAGGAGGAAGAGGGGGAGGAGGAGGAGGAAAGGATGAGGAGGAGGAGGAGGAGGAGGAGGAGGAGGAAGAGGGGGAGGAGGAAAAGGAGGAGGAGGATGGGAGGACCAGGCGGAGGAGGGGAGGACATATGAGGACACGGATGACGAGGATGACCAGGATGAGGAGGACAGGGAAGGTGAAAAACGGAAGGATCGAGGCGGACGGAGCACAGGGAGGATAAACTTGACAGGACTGGGAGCCCTGAGATCCGACGTGTCCAAAACACAGAACTGCAAAAAAGGGGCCGTAGCCCGAGGCCACATCTTCCTGCAGCGTGTCTCGAACCGTATCGATACGTGTGAACGTCTCGGGGCTCTGAGCAGAGCCAAAAAGACGGTTGCGACAAAACCTGCGACGCCAGGATCGCAGGGGAGGAGGGGAGGAGGAGGAGGCGGAGCGTACCCTGGGGTCGATTCGCCACGGCACGCTTATCTTCCCTCCGACGCCGGCTGCCTGCACCCCCTCTGGCCCGAATGGGAAAAGGAGGCGCTGGGGGTGGCAGAAACGGAGGGCTGCGCTAAAACATGTCCAACTGCTGCTTTGAAGCTGCTATTGGTTTCCAAATGGCGTCGGCGACCGATCACCGTTTGCACAAAAGACGCGCTAGAATTCTTGTCCGCCGTCTGCGGCGCTGCTCTGAAAAGAACGTTGGGTATCGAATCCGGTTCTCCTCATGGGGGCTAGAACAGCACCCGTGAAAGATACGCTGCCGCCCCCTGGCAGAAAGCGCGGACACGGGCTCGAACCGCAGTGTAGCACTATAACGGCAGAGCACGGAAGTGGCTGGCCGGGTAAACGACACCGCCTACAGGGAGGAGGAGGAGGAGGGGGAGGAGGAGGAGGACGACGAAAAAGAGGAGGGAGAGAAACAAGCTAACCAATGATGCGAACTTGCCTTGCAGCGTTTTTTCCCCTGGCCTGCCGAGGCGTTGTGCGGCAGCCCCCTTGCTGAATGGCCTAGTCATGAGACAAGAGAGGAGAAGAGGACAAAGGAAAACCATCCCAAGGTTTCAGAGAAGCTGTGAAACTATCGGCCCCCAGGCCGAACGAAAGCACAAATGCTAACAGTGCCGATTTAAGTGCAGTGAAGCGTGAGACAAATGGGCTGACCAGGCCTGGGGGTAGAGGGGGAGACAGCGAGAGACGACGACGGGGACGACGAGGACGACAACGACACCAGCAGAGGGAAGGGGAGAGTGACGAACGACTAACCTCGAGGCCGTTTGCGTGCCGCGAGCACTAGCGACACAGCCCGCGAGGAACCACGCATTCCCTCCTGAACGAATTCGCCGAATATGTAATCGAAATCGGCGCGGAGAGCCCTGCCATGGGTAGCAGCGCCGTGCAACCTGTACATGGCATGGACGCCAATGCGACACAGCGTCGCTGCTTCAGCGACACCGCCGGCCGAGCGGAGGTGCGCTGGCAGAACCCACACATGCGCTCACGCATAGAAAATCAGCCAGTCGCTCCAGGGCCAGAGGCGCCTCAAGACGCAGGTGTTTCGAGCATAGACGATGCAACGACGCGCATATCGCGTAATGCTCGATACTGTCGCCGCGCCCCCTGCAGCTGAAAATACATCCGCCGCGGCCTTGGAAACGCCGTAAAGTAGTCCAGCCATTGAAAACACAACGCAAGACAGCTGCAAGCACCCGTGGCGGAGTCACTGCTGCGATGTCACGCATTCGATTGAGAAATCGCCCAGGCCGATGGCCAGGAAGAACATGCAAGGACCATCGGTCCAACTTGAGACGGAGGTGGTGGAAAGCATCGTTCCGACGGTCACGCAAGAGCCCTGCGGGGCGCGATTGCCACGCCAGACCATCCCCGCCGAGCAGGGACGGCGAGGAGTTGCGCTGAGCCTCCTTGCATCGCAAATGGTCGGCTGCCGAAGCGAGCTCAAAGATGAAACGGTGCTCCAGCCAAGCACTGTGAGTGCGCACCCTGTCCACGTTGTCCGGGCGACGCGTGGCTGCACGTAGCCTCGCCGCGCGCTCAGGGATTCGCAGGCCACCGTTCTCGGCATCCTCGTGGAGAAAAACACGCGCACGGGCGGCAGCGCAACGTGACGTTACATCGACCATCTCCACGGGGTAGTTCAAGTCCTTCCAGTGAGTCAAGCAATCTGGAGTGACCAAGCCGCCCGGACCTCGGGGCAGTAGGGCGCGCGCCTTTTTCTCGAAGCCGACGAGCTCATCGGGAAGCGCGGCCAACTGGCCCACGAAGAACAACACCGAAGCAATGAATATGCCATACGCCTGCATGGTAAGCAAGAGACCGATGCCAAGGCCACCCCGAATGCGGGCGCGTTCAAGATACTTTGCAGATTGGCCTCGCCAAGACAACGTGCCACAGCCGGGCCTGATGATCATACCTAGGTAGTTGGCCTTGCTGTCAATGGTCAGGCAGCCCCACGCTGGCGCACGAGCTGCCAGACGCGCTCGCAAAGTAGGGGGTTGGCGCTCGCCCAGTGGAGCCAACACGGTTTTCTCGATGCTGAGTGCCAGGCCCGAGATGCGCGAATACTCCGAGAACAAGTCAACCAAATAACCGATGTGATCAAAGAACCGACGGAGCACCGACGACAAGTCATCAGCACGCGCGCGAATGCATGCGCCGCTATAGAGCCGACCCATGCGCGTCAGCAGGAAATTGGAGACAACGGCGAACAGCAGTGGAGACAAAGGACACCCTTGCCTTATTCCTCTCGCAATGTCAAAACCGACGTGCGTCGACCCAACGATAACAATATACCACCAATTTTTCTGGTGCGGTATGCGGACAAAGCGGAGGGGCCCGTTCGGCCATTCCAAAGATTCAAACAACCAGCGCAAGAGATCCTGCTCCACTGAAGGGGGCGCCGCCGCGAAGTCGAAGAATAATGCCGCCGCGGGGTCGTCGCCGTCGCCCTCCAAAAGAGCCGCGGCCATGGCATCATCGATGTCGACTGAGTTGGCCAACGTAGACCGGCCTGCAATAAGACCGCGCTGCATGGGAGAAATGCGGCGCGACACCCCGGGCTCGATGAGGGGGCGAACAGCGCTGGCCAACATGCGATTGTCTGCATTCGTACCGTTCAGTGGACGAGCAGACTCTGCGCTGTGGTAGGCCGCTCCATCCTCCGAGGCCCCCGTCCCTTTCTCGGGGGGGAGACGGAGAAGGCTGCGATAGAAATCATCGAGCATGTCGGTCACGCGCTCGGGGCCGCCGTCTGACGTCACATCCGCGATAGCATTGTGCAACGCAGGGGCCGCCCATTCCGAGAGGCGCCTCCACGCTGAGAACGGGATTCCGCCTTGCCCTGGCGA